AGACCAACGAACGACAAAATGATAACAAAACAATAACAATATCACATGTCCTACAAGCTGAATAGGTTAACGGGAAGTTAGTTGTACATGGCCAATGGTGTTCCCAAAGATGACCTATGAGATAGAGAAATAGAAAAGCAAAACACTAAAACGACTACCCATTGTAGATGATCTCACGGAGATTAAACATCAGTTCACAATTAAAAAAAAATACATAATTAATTAAATTAAATAAATAAAAATTGGTTAGTGACTAAAGGAAGACGTCACTTTGAGCGTGGATAGAGATGTAGTGACCGTTGATAGAGGTGATCGGGAGTGTTTAGGTGTTGTATATTTTGATTTGAAAAATGCTCTGGACTTGTATATGCTATAAGATCATTTATGGGTTATGTGTTTAGGATTGAGATTCTATCGTGAGTTGGAAGCCATCACTTCAACCTTCAATGACTTTGTCTACTACCAAAGCTGAATACATGAAAAATATATGGCATTGACAAAAGATGCAAAGGAGGTGATTTGGTTAAAGGAGTTGATTAGTGATCTTGGAATTAGTTGATCAAACATTGGTCTATTGAGATAACATAAATGCTATATGTTATGGTTAAGTGTTCCATGATCGAACCAAACACATCGATGCGATGCCTGGTATCACTTCATTTGTATTGATTGTCGGTTTAAAGTGAAAAAGATTGTGAAAAAAGAAAGGGAAAACCGACATATACACTGACTAAACCACTACATGAAAACAAGTTTTGTCATTGTTTGGATTTCCTTGATATAGATACTTGAAAGTATGAAAAACTTAGAAATTAAGTTGTTAAAAATGTTCATAAAAGTAACTTAAATTCCTATTGGAACGTATTCTTGTCATCATTTCACTTTTCAAAACATCGACTTCTTTCTATATAATATAGAAGTCATCTACTATATTCGTGTAATATGTTTGAAAGTTTGTGCAGTAAAGCATTTGTATTTTTTTTTCCTATTTTTGCATCACATGCATCTGGAAGATTAACAACTCATTGAAGTCAAGATTCACACAACAAACAATAAGTTAGTTTATACATATTTAAGAGGGATATATACATTAAAGTTCTAATATTTTCATCAATCTGACAAAAAAGTCCTAAACTTTATTTTTTTGACAGTAAAGTCCAAATTACCGGCAATTTTTGACACTTTTACCCTTTTTTCTCGGTTAGCCGGTTATTAGGATTTTTTTGTCAAAAAAATAAAGTTTATGACTTTCTTGTCAAATCGTCAATTAGGACTTTACTCTCAAAAAAACAAACTTTAGGTTTTTCTTGTCAAATCGTTAAAAATATTGGGACTTTAGTGTATATATCACCCTTGTAAAAGTTTCTTCTTGCTTCGCCGCCAAATCTTGAACTAAAAAGTGGGAACAGATTATACAAACACAAACAACACATGCCTAGTCAAAAGGGTGTGTATGTTGAAAAGGGAAAAAAGGGCAATTTCATTTTTTTCGGTTTCTTATTTCTCCATTTTTGGGACTACAAAAAGTTAACACAACCTTAGTTATTTCTTTCTTTCTTGATTATCTCCATTCTTTTCAATATCGGTTTGTTGAGATTAAAAAAACTATTTAACAAGAAGCAAACGTTAAGGATTTCAATATGATCTAGCTGACTAGAAAATGTTTCAATAACTCTTACGCTTAAAGAGTATCATACCATTAAATTTCTAACAAAAAAAATGATATATACACTAAAGTCCCAATATTTTCAACGATTTGACAAGAAAGTCATAAACTTTATTTTTTTGACAGAAGTCCTAATTGACGATTTAACAAGAAAGTCCTAAACTTTATTTTTTTGACAAAAAAGTCCTAATTACCGGCTAACCGGGAAAAAGGGTAAAAGTGTCAAAATTTGCCGGTAATTTGGACTTTACTGTCAAAAAAATAAAGTTCAGGACTTTTTTGTCAAATCGTTGAAAATATTGGGACTTTAATGTATATATCCCTATTTAAGATACCTGATATAAGATAGTAATATTTGTGACTAGAGCTTTGTAATGAGAAATAGCTTTATATTTCATCTTTAAGGCCATATTTGGCATGCTAGCCAAAAAAAACTAGCTTATCCACTTTTCTAATTTATCCTTCCACTTAAAAAAATTTTGATTTTCCAATTATACTTTTGTTAATTAAAATTTTTTATGAAAAAAGAAAGAAGAATCTGGAACGGCCTCCTTCCTAATCGGCTTTCAAGAATCCGCTCTTCCATCTCTGATCGTTGCTCCTTCATTGCATGTTGCCGTTCGACGCTGCTTCTTCGCCGATCTCCGGCTGCCACTCGCCAGCCTTCAACGCTGGTACTTTTCCGGTGGGCACTACTTTAGTTATTGCTGATTTCATCTGATTAGTCATTAGGGGTCAAGAACAAAGCATCTTACATGTTTGATTATATTGTTGATTGCATTTGTTTCATCTGATTAATAAGTTTTCTTATCCATCTTTTTTAAGGACATATTGGTTATATTGCTAATTCATCTGATAAATAAGTTTTCTGATTCACTAATTAATAGTATTCAGATTCATCTGGTTCATAATGTGATAATCAGCCGATTACATGTTTACCAATCTTTTCATAAGTTGTTGATTTCATTTGATTACTGAATAAGTTTTTTAAGTTGGTTCATTTGATTAATCATAAATGTTTTAAAGTTTTGAATCAAACTAGTCAGATTGGAATGAAGTGAAAATTTTACTGTTAAAAGTGATTGTTGATTCCATTTGTCATTTGATTAAAATGGATAAAACTGAATGTTAAAATTGATTAAACAGATCAGAATGGATTTATCATATTGGAATCGAGAACTCTATATACACACAATTGATTTTTATACATAAGAAAAAGAAATAAAAGAAATGTTATGTTGCAAGGTTGCGAATCGCCGACCTACTCCTTTGTTCGATCTTTGAGTTCAGATTTCTGAAGTGAGTGTTTATGAGATTTTTGTTTCTTGATCATGATTGATTTGGGATTGCTTGTTTTCTAATCAGATGAATTCAACAATAACTAAAGTAGTGGTCGGAGGCTGGAGAGTGGCGGCCAGAGAACAGCGAAGAAGCGGCGCCGATTAGGAAGGAGGCCGTTTCAGATTTTTTTTTCTTCATATATATTTTTTTTAATTAACAAAATGGTATAATTGAAAAACCAATATTTTTGTAAGTGGAAGGATAAATTAGAAAAGTGGATATATCAGCTCCTGTAATAAACTATCTTAAACTATCTTAAGCTAGTTGGTCAATAAGCTACTTTCCAATTACAAGATACAATAAACTATTTTATGGTTTTACCGAATGTTAAAATACAATAAACTAATTTACTTTTACGGAACTATCTTCTCTAGAAAAAGAGACTTGCGAATATAAAAGAAGATATTAAAAACATACTTTAATAAGAACTAAGTAATCCTTTACATTCTATACTATCCATACACCAACACGACTAAAATATAACTTTTTGAGAAACCAATGCTCTAGTCGATTAAAACAAAGAAACTCTTCTTTCTCTCTCTCTCTCTCTCTCTCTCTCTCTATATATATATATATATATATATATATATATATATATATATATATATATATAGAGAGAGAGAGAGAGAGAGAGAGAGTTTTGAAAGTCCATATGGTGCAAAGAACAGTATTGAAGGTGCAACTATCATGCGAAAAATCTAAGAAGAGGATCCTCAGATCAGTTTCTGGTGTCCAAGGTAGTTAGTGATCCATTATATCTGTGCTAATAACTATTTTTATTCTAGCTTATCACTAATACACGAGTTGGATAGAATTGTAGGAAAAATTAAACATTTTGTTATTTTTCTTACAAAATCTTTCAAATCTGAAGGAAAGTTACAACGGAAAGTGATGATTCCATATCTTTCAATTTCTTTTTCTTTTAATGAAATTTCGGAACACCAAACTATTTTATTTTCCTCTCATTTCCACTAATTTTTTTTTTCTGTCCTTAAGTTGAACTCGGGAACGAGATGTAAAGTTATGTTGATATTAAAATTAATAAAATCGCTCCAAAATTTTCAACAGTAACATGGAGCTATAAGATTTAACTTTTAGAAGATAAATTAACTTTATGTTACTTTCTAGAAAGCATGAACTTATAAGATAAATCTCATAGCAATTTGTTTATAATTAAGTTTTTTTTTTTTTTTTTTTTTTTTTAGAAAATTGCAAATTTAGCCAAATATATTAATTATTTTGTGGAAAAAAGTTAAAAAAAAAAAAAAACTAAATTTCATTTTTAGCCACCAAAATCGCAGATGGACTAAGCCCATCTGCGATTTTAACATGTCATCTGCGAACGTACAAGTTGCTAGAGCATAGACGTGATGATTTTTTTTTTTTTTTTGCTGTATAAATACCTCATTTGTATGTTTAAAATCGCAGATGGATTAAGCCCATCTGTGATTTCCTCTCCACTTCAACTGCGATTTTTTTTACTACGAAATTGATAGGGTTTGATTACCAAACAACTTTATTATATATAAAGTTTTGTAAAAAATTATCAGTTTAGTTGTTATTTCTTTGGAATTTTTTTTAAAACCTTTTTAATAAAATGAATGAATATTTAGTTTGCGTTGTAACCGGTGTGCTAAGAAAATCGCTTCCTAAAGAGAGTTTTCCAATAAAAAAGAGTGAAAATGAAGCAAAAAAAATTACGTTTTTATACTTGGCAAGGCTATGTTTGCAGATAGGGTAGCTATGTTCGTAGATGGACTAGTCCATCTGCGAACATAACTACCCCATCTGCGAACATAATTACCCCATCTGCGATTTTGATGGCTAATAATACAATTTGGGTTTTTTTTTTACTATTTTCCACAAAGTAACTAACATATTTGGTTAAATTTGCAATTTTCTCTTTTTTTTATTCAAGAAGTGACAAGTTTTAAATACAATATATTCTTACCCTGTGTTAGCTTAATTGATTGTAGGCGTAGATAAGATTGAAATGGATGTAGCCAAAGGAACTGTAACTGTAACGGGAGATGCAGATCCGTATGAGATTATTTTACGAACAAAGAAGGTTGGAAAATTCGTGGAAGTGGTGACAATTGGACCTCCTCCTGCACCTCCAAAGAAGCCGGAGGAAAAGAAACCTGAGGAAAAGAAACCAACAGAGAAAAAAACAGAAGAAAAGAAACCCAAAGAAGATGTTCAAATTCATCCATATAATATGCACATGCCACAGGATTGTGTTGTTTGTCGACAAATGACCATGGAACATATGAATCATTGGGAGGGACGAGACTCCAATTGTACCATTATGTGACTTTTTGTGAATTAATTAGAGATTGTTGCGTCATTATTTTAATTTCATCGTAACATTTATGAAAGTAGGAGGATATTTAATTTCTCTTTATGAAATATGATGTGTATGGTTCCCAAACGTAAAGGGTGTATTGGGCTCTCCAAGTACCTTTCATCCAAAACGAACAACATATATATAACAAAAAACATTAGATAGTGTAGGAGTATTGTTTACCAAATGGCTTGTAGCTAGCCTAGCATTATCAGATGTTTATGGAAATATATCCTTCAGCCATTAGTTGAGGGTTCAAGTCTTTCCTAAAAGTAGTCATTTACAAACTCAAACAAACTAGATTCTCTAAGAATAAGGAAATCAAACAACCTCATAATTTCCTTCTTAATCACCTTCATAGATGATAAACAAAACCTAATCTAATAAAACTAAATTGATTGATAGCTTATTTTATTTTCTTATTTTTATTAGTTTATTTTTAGATTTTTAGATCTTTTTATCATTATTGCATTGTATTTTATTTATTTTCTTTAGTATGGATCGTACCGGGTGTTTTTTTATGTTGAATGAGGTATTTTGCAGGGTTTTAGAGCTTATCGCGATTATGGATTAGAGCGAAGACGGACTTGTGGGCTCTCGAGGCGCTATTGGGCTTGGCGGATCTATAAAAGAAGACTTGGGCCTTAAAGAATTGAAGACTTGGATATTTTGGACTTGTGAAGATGAGTCATAAACTTCTATTTTTGGGTTTGGAGCATCCACTTTTGTAGCTAAATGATGATTGGTTGGTTTAAATCACATGGATATGGAGGGGACCAAAGGAATATTTGGTAGTGGAAGGGTGGAGTGGAGGAATGAAGGACCAATAACATTACATCAACATTTGCGCGGGTGGAATTTTCGTCGCGCGGGTACCCCGCGCAACTGCCTAGTTTGGGCATTTTGGTCATTTGGCTTGCCATTACCTTGGGGAATCAGATCTAGCAGCCACAACTTCGATTTTACACCATTGGAGACCTGAAGGAGGCGATTTTGAAGCTCAAGACTCATTTCTCTTCATCTTTCCAAGTTATTTGGTAGTTTCTTTATGCAATTAGACTTTTGTGATTGTTGTTCTATTGCCATGAGTGGCTAAACTCTTTATATTGGTTAACTTTGGTTAAAACCTTTGAATGTTTGTGGGTTTTTGAAGGATTCATGCTAGATTATCAATTATCTTATGTTTATGGTTCTAGATCATATTTCTTATGCTTGTTTAATGCTTTGATCATGAGCTTGGCACTTGAATGAGCTATTGTTAGTTTATTTCTTTGGTATTGCATTGAATCATTGAATTAACTTAGAACAAGGGCTTTATGATGGTAAAAATCATCTCTAGTTTATGAATCATAGCTCCTTTATGGATGTGTAAGCATTGACATCCTCTAGGAATTGGAGATTCCTTCTTTCTTAAGGCTAATTAACTTCTTGGGTTCAATTGCTTCAATTAAACCCTTCATCTTGATTAAGAAGGTGTGTTGTGGGCTTCCCCAACCTCCATACTATCTAAGAGGAATCTTGGCATATCATGCTTCATGATTGTTATACCAATTTGGGATGAATGATAAGCTTCATGTTGAATCCTAATGATAAGCACACAAATGTTCATTGTGTTGAATTGCCTTGGTTAACCAATTGTTCCCAACATTTGAGCATCTCACTATCTTGCTTAATTGCAAGTTTTTAGTTATTCAAGTCTTTTAGTTTTCAAGCAATCATAACACCCCCCCCCCTTTTAGTTTAATTGTAGTTAGTTAGTTTATTTACAATAGTTCTTTTAGATTGCATTGGTGATTGAATACAACCATTTCCCCGAGGATCGATACCCCTTTTTACCATTATATTACGTTTTATTTGCAAACAAATGGTGTAATTTGCTTGGTGGACTTGACATCCCACCAAGTTTTGGCGCCGTTGCCGGGGAAATTAGTTATTGTTATTTGATTGTTTATGCCTAGGTCTACAAGAACCGGTGAACTACTCTACAATCCGGAAATTGAAAAAGAAGCAAAAAAGGTTGAAATTGGTTATTGTTATTTGATCCATGCATAATGAATGATCATGTTCAAAAAATAATGAGAAAAAAGAAAGGAGAAGTTGTCGGAAGAACAAAGTAAGAAATGTTAGAAAATTAGGGTAGAAACAGAAGTAGATGATCACTGTATTTCTTCAAGGATCGTGTCGGTTCACTTTCCAAATCAATATTTCTTCTTATGTATGGGTTACGAGAAATTCGACCTATAATAATCCTTAAAGGGACAATCAAAGTTCTAGGCATAGAAGTATTAAACAAATATATGATCCCCTTTGAGAGATGTATAAATTCCATTACACAAAGATAACCGGTGATACTAAAATTGCAACAAGAAATCGATCCTTCAGTTTGTCCTTTGCGACTCTCGTTCTCTTTTGCCGTTTTGTGATGCAATGATACGTCTATGTGATGGGCCTTCTGTTTTTTAAAATCTGAAACGTAATTTTCCATTGGGCTCTTTTTGTTTAGGTATTGGGCTACCATATTGATGCTTTGGACACAGTCAACTCAGAACTTAAGCTACTTTTTTTATCACATTGAAGACTTTTGTTAGCTTCAAGTTCTGTTTTGGCCAGAAATATACGGCTTCGTGGCTGCAATTTTGTTGCACTTTGACTGCTGTAAAATAGCTCTTGGATCAATGCCCTATTGTTGGGCCAAAAATGATCACAAAATGGGCTGAAATATATTTGAATTTTGAAGTTAGGCTGCTGAAATGGATGATCATGGCTGGAATAGTCATTCAGTTTGCTACGTTTTTCTACCGGAACCATATCTTTAATTTACTCAACTTAAAATGCAAATTCTAGACAAAAATACTTTAAATTTTTTTTTATTAATTCTGAATTTATATTAAATTTTGAGAATAGAGTAAGATAACTAATAGCTAAATTTCAGAAGAAAATATTCGACGTCATTTAACATTAAAAATCTATCTTTATGGAAAGTTTGCAGCCTCCAATAATACGCCTCTCATCTACGTTGTTATTTCGTCCGTAAACAACGTCAGGAAACCTCATCCCTCCAAATATAAAACTCCATACCTGCAACCCTTCACTTAACCAACCAACACTTCATTTCTAAAATGTCTTCTAAAACTAAATCCAAAATCCCCACCGTCAAAACCATCGTCTCCACCATCGGCTCCGTTGCCGCCGCCGCAGTGGTGATACGCAGCGTCGCCCGTGATTACTTGCCCCGTGAATTCAGAAACTATCTTTATCTTGGTGTTAGAAATTTCATCAATAAATTCTCCACACACTTGACGATGATCATCAACGAATCCGAGGGGTTTCAGGACAACGAAATATACAACGCCACCGAACTCTACGTCGCTGCTAGAATGTCTTCCGATATCCACCTTATAAAGGTCACAAAAACTCCTAACCAGAACAACATCGCGGTTGCCATAGAAGTCAACGAGGAGTTCACCGATATTTTCAACGGAGTCAATCTCTACTGGTCTTTGGTTTCTAAGAAGACGCCACATAGACATACTCGCAGTCAAGATGGTATGAATTATTCTTCCCGAACTGATCTCCGATCATTTGAACTCACGTTTCATCGGGATCACAAAGATATGGTGTTGAATGAGTACTTGCCGTTTGTACTTAAGGAGGCGGAGATAAAGAAACAGGAACATAAAACCTTGAAGCTATTCACTGTCACCACAACCTCTTCATATTCGAGACCCTCGACGTGGACGTCGGTGAATCTTGATCATCCGGCGAACTTTGCCACGTTAGCAATGGATGACGATATGAAGGAGAACGTGATGAAGGATTTGGATAGATTTGTGGAGAGGAGAGAGTATTATCGGAAAGTAGGAAAAGCATGGAAGAGAGGTTACCTGTTGTATGGTCCACCAGGGACAGGAAAATCAAGCTTGATCGCAGCCATGGCGAATCACTTGAATTTTGACATATATGACTTGGAGTTGACTGACGTTAAGTCAAACTCGGAGCTGCGGACGTTGCTGGTGGCAACTGCCAACCGATCAATACTGGTGGTGGAGGACATTGATTGCTCCGTGAAGTTCCACGATCGGGAAGCTGCGGAGGCAGCGAGAGCCTTAGCTCAGAAAAAAGGAAAGCTGCTCCCTGGAGAAGAAAAAAACGTAACCTCAGCCATATACCAAAACCACACGTATTTTATATATATTTACTTATTTGCCATTCTTAGGGTCCGTTTGATAACAAGCTGACCGGGTCCGGTCAGCAATTTTGGCTGCCTCGGTCAGCAATTTTGGCTGACTCGGTCCTAATCAGCCCGTTTGATAAAGCCCAAGAATTACTGACTCGGTCTGCAACAGCCGACCCAACTCCTTACTCGGTCAATCAAAAAAATATGGCTGACTGAAACAGTGACACGATAATCCCCTTTCTACCCCTCGTCGCTTTCTTATTCCTCAATCACTAAACTAGAACTCACCCATGCCACTCCTTCCTCCGTTCAGGCCACACCGTGCTCCTCCACCTTCACCGACGTCCAACGACCCACCATCTCCGCCGACATCCTACGACCCACCATCTCCGCCGCAGCAAGCAGGTCCGCCGAATCTGAGACCTCAAGTCGATTTCTCCAAATCGTTTCCCACATCCCACTTCGTCCACAGCCACAACTCGAAAAAAGCTTCTTTGAGTTCGATTATAGATATCCCAGGCGGCTTCTTTGATTTCGATTAACTTGTAAGAATCTTGATTTCTCATACTTTCATTGTTGAGTTCAATTACAGTTGTAAAATTCGATTAACAGTTAATTATTGCTTTGTTGTTGCTGAATTGTTTGTTGCATATTTCGATTAACTGTGAATTTTGGCTGATTTTAGTTGTAAATTGAAAGGAGTATACAATGAGCAGGTGCTTTTCCTCATATTGCTGCTTACAAAAAAAAGTATTTGTTTTGGCTGCTTTTAGTTGTAAGGGTTTTGTTGAATCATAACTCGAGAAATTATGAAGTATTTGAACTTTAAGGAAATTAGGAGTTAGTACCTCCTGTACTTTTTAATGTTCTAGATTTGGGATTGAGATGTTTATGGCATCTTCATGTTTTATGTTCTTTTTGCATAGGTTTAGCATATCATGTATTTTAATTGCTTTTGTTCTATTTTTCCAATTATCCCAGGAAGATGATTTGTTTAAAGTTATTAAAATTGATGGTGTTCACTTGTAGCAAAGGAACACAAAGTCAATAGAGATCAAAATTTATTTGAAGAGACAGAATTCAAGCCTACAGATGATTTGTTAGTGAGGCTATAAAGGCTGCAAGAAAGTGCAATTCTCATAGGATTTTAGCCCTTTCTTAAAAGATAGAAGTGAGGTTATTTGTAAGTTTTTTTCATTAAGGATTTAATATAAAGTTATGATGATCATGTAAGTAACTTGTGAGGTTCTGGATTAATACACATATCTTCCTCTTATATACTTGGTTTCTAAATTCTTTTTAATATATTTTATAAAAAGTTCTAATGTTAAAAACCATTTTTAAACCCTATATTATAAGGACAAACTTGATCCAGCTCTTAATTATATCGATGGATTATGGTCAACTTGTGGAGATGAAAGGATCATCATATTCACCACAAACCATAAGGACAAACTTGATTCAGCTCTTATTCGTCCTGGTCGTATGGATGTTTATATACACATGTCATACTGTACGCCATGTGGATTTCGTCAGTTGGTTTCTAACTATCTTGGAATCAATGATCATATTCTTTTTAAACAAATTGAGGATTTGATATGCGAGATAAATGTTACTCCAGCTGAAATAGCAGAGCAACTACTCAAAAATGATAACCCTGATATTGTTTTAGATGGTCTCATTGAGTTCTTTGATGTGAAAAGGATGAAGGAGGAGAAGGAAGAGCTAGCTACAAAAGATAACGAAAAGAACGAAAAAAGTGGTTGAAATGAACTTGTTTTTGCATAATAAAATAGTAAGTTTGTGTATTGAAAGTAGGTTTAATATATAAGACGAAATAGCAGAAAGTCCTTAAATTGTTCACATGCACTGAAACTATGACACATAGCCGAAATCATCCAGTTTCGATTTGAGTCGTATGCAGATGCTTGTAAAAATGAATTCAGAATATAAGCTAGATGTTTTTGGGTTCATTTTTATTTTGTATTTTTTAATATTCGTAAAATAACTAACATGTATTTTATTACTAACTGTTGTAGTGGTTGTAAATTTTTGTTTCCATAAAAATGTTTGAACCGATCATGAAAAGCAATCTTCTTGTAAATGAATATTATGATTTAAAGGATTGTTATTTTCATGTTATGGGGGTATATTGTCAATTGGGTTCATTTCATTCATGGTTTTTCTCCATTTATACGATTAATAATTTATACAGTTCATCAACTAAACATGATAATAAAATAATTTCGTTGCAGTACTTCATCAATTTTATTATTTTACTAGAAATATTGCTTTAGCTATGAAAAAAATACCAATGAAAATATTTTGTCATCCAATTTCCAACAAACTTGAAACAAAAGAAGAGCAGAACAAAATTTCAACAATATATCCATGGATATATTAACAACAAAAAGTTCGTTGGAAATTTCCTAAAAGAACCAACAATTAATTTTTAAAATTAATGCAAAATATAAATAGTGAAATAAAAATCCCCCCCCCCCCCCCCCCCCCCCCCCCCTTTTCTTATTGTCTTCCCCCCCATTTTCTTTTATATAATAATTAATAGAAAAAACATCATAAATGGTCCCTGTGTTTTCCAATTATTATTTGATATAATAATTAATAGAAAAAACATCATAAATGGTCCCTGTGTTTTCCTAGATTCTGAAGTTTAGTCCCCGTGGTTTAAAAATCGCATAAATGGTCCCTGTGCTTTCAAAACTTTTGACAGATGGTCCTTATCCCTCACACCATTAGAACCCCACCGTTAACCCTTATTTCATTAAAATAATATAAGGGCAAATCGGTCTTTTCGCCTGTGCCCTCTTCTTTATAACCAAATGCATGTCTATATTTTGAAAACCCTTCTCGCACCCACCCTCTTCTACTGTCACTCTACTGTGCATCCAATTGCAAAACGATTTCTGCGAGTGTCGAAGATGGCGATTTGTAGATGTGGAATGGAAACAACGAAGTTGACCTCATGGACGGATCGTAACCCAGGAAGGCAATTTTGAATTGTTCAAGATGTGGGTTCGTAAGGTGGGTTGACCCTCCGATGTGTGCAAGGGCAGTGGTGGTGATTCCAGGTTTGATAAGATCAATGAATCGATTGGAAGAGAGGGTTGCGATTGCAAGTGCAGAACTTTGGAACTACCAGCTGATGTTGTTCTGTTCATGGATGTTTTTTTTTGTTTTATTTTAACCAGTAAGGATTTGGATGGTAATAGGATGGGGGGTTTTTGGTTTCTTTTGTATGCATCTAACTAGTTCAGGGGGTTTTGGATTGTGATGGAATGGGTATTTTTGGTTTCATTTTGTTGTATGAAGTGTAACACATTAAGTTAATGGAAATGATGATTATGTATTTTGTTATAAATCAGTGGGTTTGATGTGCATTTTCGTATGATACATTGTTATAACTGCATCTTGCAAATGGTTAGGAATGGTATTTCAAATCTACATTGTTATACATGCATCTTTTTGAGAAAGGTTTGGAGAGGGTAATTCATAAGCAGAATGTTGATAAAATCATTACAAGTCTGTGTTTAACCCATACAAACATGAGACTTACTTTCAACATACTTACTGATGGAAGGTCTTAACCCATACAAACATTACAAAAGACCTAATTACCATAATTTAAACAACCAAACCATAATTTAAGTTTCAAAAGACCTAACTACCCAAACATCCAACTAACTACTTAACAGAATTGCCTAAATTACCCTTTCCCTTTCCTTGTGTCTTCCCCTTTGCCTGTGTCTTCCCTTTTCCCTGTGTCTTCCCCTTTGATCCAACTTCACCAATGCCTCCCTGCCCTTTACATGTTCTGGAATTGTGCCCCTTGTTATGACACTTTGAACAAGTGACTGCAAGAAATTTCCTGCTCAATTTAGTGGTTTGGCTGTTGGGCTCATCAACACCTCTCCTTCTCTTCTTTTTTGGCCTCCCAACCTACACATATGCATTTATTATATTTAAAACATTAACATACATGCTGACATTAAAAGTACATATCTAATCTAGTTGACATAACAACCTGTGTGTGATGTTTTGGTGGAGTTAAAGTGAATGGACAATCACTTTTTGGCCACATTGAACGACCATTTATTGGATCAATTTTGTTCAGATACATGGCTCTCCATGTTGATAACTTATAGCAAGGATGGACCCAATCCTCAACATCAAGGGCATCTTCTCCATTTTCAATTTTGTTCCATATAGCAGAAACAGCATGCCTACATGGAAAACCTGTAATCTCCCAAAACCTACAAGTGCAACTTCTTTCATTTAGGTTCACCACATACTGATCCTGCCATGTGCTTGCAACTTCGTACTTTCCTGCCCCATTATACTTAGCTACATACTTTGCTGCTTGAGTCTTAATCTCCTCTAAAATTATAGTTGCAGTATTACTTAGTTCGCCTTGACACTTATCTATTTCCTTTTTGCACAACACACAATCTCTTCATGAGATACTCTCTAATATACTCTAAGCAGGTGATGATTGGTTTATCCCTACCTTCCTCTATCTTAGCATTGAATACCTCACAAAGATTATTCAACAAACAATCAGTGTGTGCCCTACCTGTGAAAAACATATTCAAAAAGAGAAATTATAAATTTTATATTAAAACATAAAACTCAACAACTTCTAAATGACATACCACTGAAGTGAGATTTAGACCATGTCTCTGCAGGAATCTTACACAACCAAGCATGAGCTTCATCATTCATTTTCTTCAACTCATCCATTGCATATTTAAAGTGATTTAATGTTGTTGCTCTACCACATTCCCAAACCAAGTCACTCAACTCTTTTCCTTTCCATTGTTTCTTCAAATTCTCCTGAATATGCCTCAAACAAAACCTATGTTCTGCATTGGGGAATACCTTTACAACTGCTGGTATTATCCCCTTAACAAATGCAAATACAGTCAGTTTCATTTATAAAAATAGAAAGTAAGGGACACTATCATGAGAAATAATTAGGTAAAACATACCTTTTGTCTATCAGAAATGAAGGTAAAATTTGAATTTGCTCCCAATTCCAAGTCTTCTCCTAACAGTTCCATGAACCAGGTCCAAGAACTAGTTGTCTCAGCCTCTACCACTGCATATGCTACAGGGTATATTCCATTATTTGAGTCTAGACCCACAACAGTTAGTACCTGCCCAGGAAATGGGCCTTTCAAGAATGTACCATCAACTAACAGGAAATCCCTTAACCCAGCTTTGAATCCCAACTTCAATGCACCTAGACATACATATATTCTTCTAAAAGTTCTTGTAGTAGTCGACAAGCATGGTTCAGGATACACATCTATCCTAACAGTTGAACCAGGATTAGTGTTTAGCAGTTCCAAAGCATAATCCCTCAGATACCCATATTGAAGTTGGTAGTCCCCACTAATCACACGTTCAACCATTTACTTTGCCCTACCAACCTTTTGAACTGACATACCAAGCTCCAGCTTCTTACACAACTCCTCGTGTAAAGCTTTGATTGGAATTTTAGGGTTACTCTGAATTTGTGGGACAATTAAGTTTGCTAAATATTTGGAAGTACAAGCTTTAATTGATCTTGTCTGCAAACATTTATGGACATCATGTACTGTTTTCACCAACCATTCCTTATTCTCATCTGGCCTCGAGATTTGGACTGCCCAAGGACATTTTCCTTTTTTACTAATCACATTTTTGCCCTTGCACTTTACCTTACTTCTTGTTGATGGCCCACCACATTCAAATGTTTCAGTAGATTGTCCCTTGCACTTTACCTTACTTCTAGTTTATGGCCCATCACATTGAACTGTTTCAGTAGATTGGCCCACAACACCTCCACATTTGACCCTTATCCTGATTTTATCATTTTTTGCTAAGTATAGGGACCTCCTTGTATTTACAGCATGTGCATGCATGTAGTCCACAACTTCCTTCTTTGTTTTGAAACACTGCCCCACCCTATATGGTTTTAAATGGATCTCCCCATGTGAGCATGGAGTTGACCTACTCAACTCCTTAAGCATTTTTGTCCTTTCATCTTCATAAAATCCTGCATACTAATAATCATCACTTTGAATAACTTCCAACTCTTCATCAACTATGTCATTCCCTATACTTTCGGTTTGCTTGTTTAAAATTCCATGTTCATCTACATCCATGATACTTTGGAATTCACTCATGTCTACATCCACATCAAATTGCAAGTTAGACTCATATGCAATGTAGTCACTATCATCAGAATCATCTCCACTATAATCAAAACCATCTTCATTCTGACTATAGAAAGCATCTCCACTGTCATCACTTACCATGCCCTCTAGAATTTCCATTTCTACTTGATTGTCTTCACCATTTGGTACAATGTACTCAGCATCAAAGTCAGCATAAGTTGAATAATCATCTGTAAATGCTTCAAATTCATCGAGTCTTACACTTTGTTGTCCATCAATATCTTCACAAATTGGTTCCTCTGCAAGATTGCCTAAATTACCCTTACACACTTCTTCTATGTGGCCCATGATCATGTTGGATAAGGTGTCTAAGTCCATAACTATTTCTGGTATGTACTTGACCCGACCCGACATGGTCCATTTGGGTTGCATGGCACCATGCAATTGGATAAACTAAAATGAGAGAAATAACACTTATGGTTTATTAATATATTATAAGTTCTAATATATTAATAATATTATTTAATTAGTTTGATCAAGAATTAATTTAGAATTAATTAAGTGATCAAAAGATAACTAATTAAATATATGGGTAGATTATGTAAATCTTCCATATCTTATATAGTGGGCTAAGAGGCTCCATGGATTATCAAGTTGGGTTCCACCCATAGGATGCTCCATGGAGTTAACCCATGGATCATGAAATGAAGAGTCATGTTACATTAGGGTTTACCTAATGCAACACACTATATAAACAAAGGTGTTCTCCCCAAAATTTGGCGACACTAAGAAACAGAGGGCTAGAGCCGATTTTGCAAGTGTAAGATTCTCTCAAAGTTTACTCCTTTGCATTTGGTGTTGTGTGAAGCATTTGAGGCATCACACTTGGGGTGCTAGGCTCACAAGGTTTCAAGGATCATAATCAACAACAAGGTAAGTTATTCTATCTTTCATTCAAGTTAAAAATGTTCCCCATGTATGCTAGATAGGAATATAACCTTGGAATTCAACTTTGCATGGTAATTAGACAAACATAGATCCAAGGTTATTAGGGTTGCATGTACACTTAGGAAGTGTTAGAATGCTCAAAACCCATCAGATCAATCCTTCATTCACATCAATGACATTACTTCGTTGGCTAACTTGAGACATAACATATGGAACAATAGTCTTTGAATGATCCTGACTTTCATCCATATCTATTACCTGTGACTGGTCAACAACATGGTTGGCAGGGTGGTCTAACTCAAGCTTTTTACTACACGATCCTACTTCTCTTCTACAAGGTTTTTTTTCTATTAAGTTCCGGAGACACACTCTCAGGTTCCAGTTCCTCAATAACAACTTTGGAAGGAGACTTAAAATAACTAGCTACCCTAGTCTGACCAATTTCAATATAGACCTTTACAAGTCTGTGCTTAAGGACATACGAAACCAATTTAAGAACATCTTGGTCATTACCTAAAGGCAATAACCCGTAGTCTAAGGGAAATTCAGGGATACAGAAATGGTAGTAAAGAGTTTGTTCACCTTTGTACCCTAATTCTCGAACCATGTCATCGAGTTCATGGACTGTAAATAAATCAGTGTCAACGTCATCTACGTATGATACAGTACCATCGACGTATTTCCTTCCACGTGACTTGGTGAAGACACCACTATAGTGTATCTTCAACGTGAAATAGTTATCATATCCCTCTGCAAACACAAAAATAGAAAGGGTAAAGAAGATGATTTATCTTCACGAATACATTCAAGGAAAACAAAAACTTAAGTTTTTTTTTTTTTATGAAAAATCTTACCGTATCTCGATTGCAAGTCCTTCAAGCACGCATTTTTTTCACGCAAACACCATATTGACAGAACCATTGTCCTTTGGTGCTGTGTAAACCCTAAACCCCAATTTCGTTTCTTGGATGAGAGTGATCTGTTGAAGACGAAGTCACTGTACTCTTGGGAGATGAAGAGTGTTTGGGAGTTGACGTGAAGAAGACAGTGACATAATCATTTCCCTCAATAAAGAAGAGGGCACAGGCGAAAAGACCGATTTGCCCTTATATTATTTTAATGAAATAAGGGTTAACGGTGGGGTTCTAACGATGTGAGGGATAAGGACAATCTGTCAAAAGTTTTGAAAGCACAGGGACCATTTATGAGATTTTTAAACCACGGGGACTAAACTTTAGAATCTGGGAAAACACAGGGACCATTTATGATGTTTTTTCTAATTAATATATATATATATAATATTATATATATATATATATATATATATATATATATATATATATATATTAAAATGTCCTAAGTTAGCAACAGTAAACTTGGTGGGTTTTGGCATCTTTAGTCCACATATTTGCTGTATCTCGGAATTGGTCCGATTCTTTGTTGAAATTGCAGTTTGGTTCTTACCAGGGTATTCTCATCGGGTTACTTTAACTCAACCATGATCACCGCTTATTCTCCACCGCTTTACCAAGCCGTCAGGTATACCCAACAAACATCACCGTCTTCCATCCTTCCAGAACTCTCTCTATCCCTCTCGCCATTATTGTTTTCTTCCTCAAGGTTTTTTTCTTCGTCGGTCGCCTTCTGATTCCACAGTTCGTTCCTTGCTTCTATCCTTACTTCTATCACAGGTAATCTTCTTCTGTTCTTCGACCTTTGTTTCTTCCATTTGGTTTTTTGTTTAGTTCCTTTCTGTTCTTTCGTCGGTCCTTCTTCCTATGTCTGTCCAGCCGAAGCTGAAACCTTATGACGGTGCTTCCTCCTCTGTTGGAGTTTCCGTTAGTGGTCGTCGCAGGTGTCGTCGTCTTCCAGCCTTTTCTGTTCTTCCCCAATACCTTGATTCCGGGGACTGTGATTGTGTTTGTGAGTTCTGCGGTGCATATTTCTGGTATGTTGAGAAGGTCCTGAAGTTCTCCACACCTGGTCATCCGAGGTATAATCACTGTTGCAGGGGTGGGGATGTTGTGCTTCCTTACGTCTGTTAACTTCATGATTTTTGGGGACAAATCGGTTCCTGTTGGGACAGTTGATGAAGCGTGTGGGTCTCTAAGGTATCCTACTATTCCATCGGCTTACTTTTTTTTTTCTCCATGTCGATTTGTTTTGAGTACCGGGTGTAATTGAAATTTGATTGTCGTTTTTACAAGGTTGCAAACACAAACCCTTTTTCCACATTCTTCATGCCAACTTGCTGTTTCCACGTTATATGTGTATGTGTGTCTTCGTATCTATGCCCGCCACCTGTTTGAAGAAATGTCTAAACCAAATAACAAAAAAAAACATTTTTTAATTTAATGTCTGTTTATAATGTTGCTGAAATTAAATACCTTTGGTTTAGAAAGGTAAATTGTTCGTTTATATTGATTTTAATTTTCACTTCTTCTTAGTATGTTTCTTTGGCATTTCCTTTTCCTACTCTAATGATAATTGTGAGCACTATAATTTGATGCAAACTGAAAGATTGAAACCTTAGATAATAAAAGTTATCAATCATTTATGTTTGATATAGGTAGTAATCGGAACTCCAGGTGGCCGACAACAGGCCGGGACTGCAACAGGTGAATCAGGTACTTTATATATACGTAGATTTCTTGGGTTTATGAATTATTCAAATTTTGTGTTCCAGCGTATTCAATACCACCGAAATTGTTGCAGTATCCTTAGGTTCCTCTGAATCGTCGAACGAAAAAAATGTGTATGAGGTTTCGGTTCTCTTGTGACTTGGCTCCTGCTCATACGCTACTTCTCTGCAAAATCGACATCATTGAAAGCTCAGGCCACTGGTTTCTTTCATTGGATTATTGTTTCTATTAACTTTATAATTCCATCCAACTTTACCTACAGTTATCTGTGTATTGGTGTTTGACTAACAGGTGTTGGGTTAAATGTTTTACATAAATCATTATATCAGGGGATTATTGTTTCCCTAGATTTGTCTGCTAATCGTGAAAAGCAATCACCATCTCAAAACGATGCTCAGAAACTTGAAGGTTTGCTTACCGAATCCATTCTGTATCTATTTCATTTGATTGATTGCTAAGTTTCTATTAGTGATTTTTATAATTGTAGTAGCTTTGATATAGAGTCGATTGTTGAGGCTTAAGCTCATTGCATGATTGATGCAAAAGAAAACTTAGATATATCAAAAATTTACCAGTATGCTTTTTTTAAGTCTTTTATCATTGTAAAAGTCAAACTTACTTTCATCCTTAAGGAACAGTATTGATCATACTACCACATGTTATTTAGATCCTACGGGAGCGGATTTCTTGGCTTGAAGCTACAAATCAGGATTTGTGTCGCAAACCTCATGAGAATCGCAATGGAGTCATCACTATTGATCAACAATCTTTCTCTAAAGTATGTAAAAGTTTGTAACTTTTGTCAACATTTATAAAAAAATAACCAATTATGCTGCAATTTTTCAGATTGGTGATTCCTTTTGCGTGAAAACTTAACGGCTTAAAAGGGGTTTGCAAAGTATCAATTCATCAGATTATGAAATGAGTGAAAGTGGTAAGCTTAAAAAAAATTATACAAATGTAAAATTATTTTTATTTAATCATTTTTTTAAATGACAATAAATATAGGCGATTCTGATGTGATATAGGAAGAAACAGCAAAAGAATTGGAGCATCCCCTTCTCCAAGACTCTATGAATAAAAGGTTACATGAATTAAATAAACGATTAGAACAGAAAGAATCAGAAATGAGACTTTTTGAAGGATCGGATACCATGACTCTTAAGCAACATTTTGGAAAGAAGTTAATGGATTATGGAACGTGAGGATTAAAAACAGGCAGTTCAAGTAAAAACATAAGCATAAAAACACTATAGCCTTAAAGTTGGATTAATTTTTTTTAAAAAAATTGATAATTCATCTTTTCTTGCTCATTTTTATAATTGTTGCAGTTAAATTCAAATCTCTTGAATCACAGGTTAATAATTATAAATGTTTATCTTTTTAAGCATTTGATGAATATCTAATTAACATGTGGTTCTTTTTTGTGGTTGTTGCTTCAAGGTATTTGAAGATTAGTACCCGTCAAGTAATATTAGTTTACTGTTGATCATAAATCTGTTGTTTTTGGCCCGTATACGAAGTATCATGTAAGTAAATCATAAAGCTCATAGTAAAATTATTATTTAACTAAAATCACAAAACTTAATTTCCAAATAAATTCATGAATAAAAATTGGTTAAATTGCAATTTTTCATTCCATTAGTCAAGTGAAGGATTAACAAAATGGAATGAGTCATATTCCAAAGTAATGGATTGAGTGATTCCATTCCGTTTCTGATTCCATGAAATAAAGAGGTAAATTTATAGAATCAAAAGTTAAAAATTAACTCTCCAAATGTAATGCAGATGTATGGCTAAGTTTCTGATTGGTCTCTTTTGGGTGGGAATGTTTCATCACCTCTATAATCAGGTATGAAAAAATATTGTAGGTTTACGAAAAAAAAACTTACCCACCTTTTTAATATAACCATAAAAGTCTTTGGTCAAAATGTGGTAGGTTGACCTGCAGACATTTTTCAACCCGTGTTGAGATTCGGTGAATAATTAAGGGACATTTGCAGAATATAGCAATGTAATTTACTTTTTTTTTTGTCGTAATAATATTGTAATCTTATTTTTATTATATGATTATCTGGCTTCACACTTTGTCCGAGACCATGCCAGAGAGCATTGTGCGTTCCCTGGTCTCTAAAAAACAGAAAACTCCAGGCACCAAGTATTTTTACTTGACCATTTTGCCCTTGATAAAAAAATTATTTTTAATGTTGATTAAACATTCACTCCAATATGTTGACTTGGTAAAGTAAAGGATAGTTTTGCATTTTTGAACCACATATATTGTTTTTTTCCATTCAAACCATCAAAATGGTTAATTTGGAAAAAAAAGATTTGATTGGGTCCAACTAAATTGAAAAATATTAATTTGATTGTGCCACATGGACAACCTGTCACTGTTGAAACATTTTTGGCATGGAGAGAAAAATTTGAAGCAGAAATAGCCCTTGAGAGAGCCAAGTAATTAACAGATTTTATTATTTTCCACAATTTATATAATGATTAATTACTACCCTCTGACTTTCAGGCTATTACTAGAATCAGCCCTTACTACAACAAAAAAAAAACTCACTGGAAGACGATGGTTCCAAAGTGGAAAAGCTTCTGTAGTAAGTTATTCTGTTTATGCCTTTATGCTGATGTGGCATTGATGACTTCAAATGGCAATGATGTGGCGATGACATGGCATTAACATATGTTTTATATTGTTACTTTTGGCAGAAACATGCAGTATATGGAATTTATTTTGAATATAATGTCTGTTTGGTTGCAATATTTGATGTGTTGCCATGTTGTTGACTAAGAGCCACCACAGATTGATGAAGTGATACTCAGAATTTTGTCTATATGTAGAGTGCATTCCTCTGGTTTTTCCCAGGTGACATCATAATTTCAGTACATTTTTGTCTCTGGAATCACACAAATTTACTAAACGTAACTTTGATTTTATAGCAGTGATGCAGGATTTAGTGGTGGTGAACTGCTTATACAGTCGGAGATGCAACATGGTCCGGTGAATATGGTGGCGGGTGCCCAGAATGTGAATGGGGTTGCAGTTGGTGGACTTGAAGGGTATTTGGGTAATTCGAGGTTTTCCTATTAGGTTACTCATGGTTATGGCAATGGAATGGAATCACAACATAACATTTTAAACTCTGGAATTATGGATTCCATTTCGGTTTCATATCAGTTAAATGGAAGAGTTATGGATGACTCTCCTTCATATCTGTCGTTTACTTTTTGGAGTATCCAAATCTGTGGATTAATATAAGAATTCAATTTTATGACCCTTTTTTGTAGGGATATGAGTTGTTACATTAAAGGCAGCCTTGCATCCAAGAAGTTTTTATTACTGAAAATTTGGAACTTAGTGTTAAACTCCCATGAAGTAATGTGAAAGAAGTTGCTGAGAAGGAACCCAAGAAGAAGGTCAAGGTATGGAATGGAATCATTCATTCCATTGGAATGAAATAAAAAACGTTTTGTTTTTGTGGGATGGAATTAAAGTGATAAAACTAATTCCATTCGTTTGTTTCATGTTTTAGAAAAGCTCTGTGGATGCAATCTGTACCACAAGAGGCATATTTCCCCGGTTGTTCTTTTTTTTGTTTGAATTTATTGTAGTACACTCTTATGTTTAAAATGAAAGACCAATTCATCAATTTTTTAAATTTGAAAGGTGATGGGGTTACTTTGTTAGCATCGCTTAACTGTTTTCCCAAATCTATTTCTTATTTATCTTTGTATGTTTTCCCAAATGCAATGCTATAATTGGAAGAATTTGAAGGAGGCGAATCATGTGAAACAAGGACACATTTCAGAATGACACACTTAAAAAAAAGCACACACCGACCCGGGCGAAGCCCGGGGTACCCTGCTAGTTAACATTAATATAATAATAACTCTTGTATATTATTATCAATTATAAATATGACAATTATTATTCCAACAATATAGCGATGGATATAGAAACAACAAAAAAATGCATTATTACCAACACAATACCTATAGAAAAATACATAAAATTAGACTCTTTTGAGAGACAAAACCATTGGAAATTTGTTGGAATGGACTACAGGAATTCCGTAAGAAAGAGGATCGGTAGGAAATCCGTACAAAAAATTGTGTCAGGAAGTATTGTTGGAAATTTCCTACGGAATATTAATTTGTTAGACATTCGTTGGAATTTTTTTGGGAACTATGTTTCCCATGGCCCTTTTCCATCAAAGCAGTCTCGTTGGAACTTTAGGGCTATTCGTTATTTCCTACTAAATACCAACACAATAGTTTGTAGGTAACCTTCCCACTTTCTAGTACTGAGTAAACAAACACTTTATGTCTTGGTAAATAAATTAATATACGTTTTATATCAAATTAAATGATTTATCAAAAATAGAAATTCATACTCATATTATTAACATGGTATATGTTAAACGTACTATTTTTTTAACATAAGAATTCTATAAACGCAAAACTAGCAAGAAGCTAAAAGGTTACATGATACAATTCTGATATCTAGGAGAGCAGCATCAATCATGAAACATTCCAAAAATCATGACCAAAAATTTTCGTTTTATTTATTAAATCAAACCATAGATATTAAAACATTTCATCAAAACATCAAGTCATGTTCATAAATCAGAGTATCCATATCAAAACATCAGAGTAAAACATCCCAGGCTAAAACATCATGGTGTGTGCACTGCAGTCATCCCGAGCTCTTCCCTTTGCTACCAGAAGTACCTGAAACCAAAACTGAAAACTGTAAGCACGAAGCTTAGTGAGTCTCCCCAAACTATCACATACCATACACATAATCACATAATAACAAATCATGGGCCCCCCGCCCGGCATCGGACAAAGTCCGGCATCGGGCCCCACCCGGCATGGAGCAAAGCTTGGTATACATATAAACATATCAACAAATACACATAAATAATCACATAACATAAACATATAAACGTTCCTCGGGCCCCGCCCGACATCAGACCGAAATCCGGAAGCATACTACACTCCTCGGGCATTGCCCGACATCAGACCGAAATCCGGAAACATATAAATACAGACACATGCAAGAATCACGAAGACATCAAGCATACAAACATTCCTCAAGCATCGCCCGACATCGGACCGAAATCCGGAAAGCATATAAACATTCATCGGGCACTGCGCGGCATCGGACCTTAGTCTGAAACATACTAACATACATAAACGGGCCGACATTGGTGCCTTCGACCCATTCCTACAGGAGGAAACTCACCTCGCAAAGCTGAATGCAGAATCTCACGGTAAGGAATCTCTAACGGCTGCTCCGACGACCCCCCGAGCTATCATTTCCACAACAACACTTAATCAAAATCCAATAATCCTTCTTAGGGTAAAATGACCATTTTACCCCTGATCTAATTTGGACCATAACCTAGGCCCAAATCTATAAGATACATGGTCCAATTCTATATAGCCTTTCCAAGCCCACTAATGGCCCACTTATGGCCCAATTTTCTAAATTGGACCCAACTCCTCAAATGGGCCTTCCCTTAAGCCCAAACATGTTCTTAGCCCAATAACTGATTTCTGATGCCCCATTATGGCCCATAATAACAAAGTCCATGGATCGGCCCAAAACCGAGGCCCGAATGACGAAAACCCATATCCAGTGAGTATGCGGGACGTACTCCTCTGTACGCTAAGCGTACAACTTGCATGGCTTGTATGTTGTGCATACGGGCTTGTACGCCCAACGTACTAACATGTTAAGCAATAGACTCCAAAAAGGCTTAATCCCTTAAGACCTTAAGCTCCAAAGACAGATTTGAGTCCACTAAAGTGTCTTAATCCATAAAGTCGATTACTTGGTGGCTTGCAACCCACCAAATGGACCCAAACTTGAAATATGGCCCCTAATTTCCATGGAAATGACTAAAACTCATGCATGGCCACAATAAGACCTTCAAGATGGAAACTTTTCTATTCTTGGGACTCATATAGCACTAAGGGTGGCAACCCTAAGCCTAGAAACGGATTTGGACCATAAAAATCCCTTATTGGGACCCAAAAAGGTCCAAAACACCATTAACATAGTTCTAAGCATACATGAGGCAAGTTGTGAGCTTTTTACCTCAAATGAGTACTAGATGATGATGATATATCCGATCTTTGAGCTCAAGGTACACAGGTTCTTCTTCACCAACTTCCTCTTTCTCCTTCCAAGCTTCAAACCACGAAAATGAGCTTCACAAGATCAAAATCACACAAAGATGAAGAAGGTTACGTTTCTAGGCTTTCTGAGTCAAGAAGGCTGGTAAGGAGGCTAGGGTTTGGGACATAATGAGGTATTTATATGGCTTAAACCCTAAAAATTAGGGTTTTGAGTCTTCTCGTGTACGCTGCGCGTACCCCTTGGTATGCTGCGTGTACGCGTATCAACCCCCCGCATCTAATGCTGCACTACGCCCCGCATACATCAAGCTTACGCCCAGTGTACATCTCTGGACAGCCTAATAACGGCCCACTCACTAAAGGCCTAACTCAATAATCCAACATTAATCTCATAGTCCGAGAATTAATTACAAAGATTAATAATTAGCATTACCTCAAGTCACGGGTGTTACAATTCTCCCCCACATGAATCAGAGTTCGTCCTCGAAGTCTGCTGCCCTGAACAACTCCGGATAGTGCTCCCTCATCTCCTCTTCGGGCTCCCAAGTCCACTCGGACCCCTTATGGTGCAACCATTGCACCTTTACCAGCTCTACCCTCTTGTTCTTCAGCTCCTTCGTCTTCCTGTCAAGAATGGCTACTGGTCTCTCGATGTAGTTCAGGCTGCCATCCACCTGAATATCCTCTAAAGGCACAACTGCGGAGTCATCCACTATGCACTTCCACAGCTGGGAGACATGAAAAGTATTGTGGATCTGACTAAGCTCGGCTGGCAGATCCAGTTGATACGCAACCCGGCCCACCCGAGCCAAAACCCTGAATTGACCAATATACTTGGGGCCCAGCTTGCCCCGCTTCCTGAACCGAATGACACCTTTCCAAGGTGACACCTTCAGGAGAACCATAACGCCCACCTGAAACTCCAAGTATGACCGTCGCTTGTCGGCATAGCTTTTCTGCCGACTCTAAGCAGTCTGAAGCCTGCTCCAGACCTGCTGAATCTTCTCAGTGGTCTTGAGTACCACCTCGGTACTCCCCATGACTCTCTGACCGACCTCACCCCAACAGATTGGGGTCCTACATTTCCTCCCATAGAGCATCTCGAAGGGAGGTCGATCTATGCTAGCGTGGTAACTAGTGTTATACGAAAATTCCGCTAACGGAAGATACGTATCCTAACTGCCGCCAAATCGTCCTCTCACTCTACCCATCCGTCTGAGGGTGAAAAAGTTGTATTGAAGTGAAGATGAGTACCCATCTCGTCGTGAAACCGCTTCCAAAATTTGGAAGTGAAACGAATATCTCGGTCTGACACAACCGAGACCGGCACTCCATGACGTGCCACTACCTCACGTACATAGATCTCGGCTAGCTTCTCAGCCGATATATGTGCACTCTTGGTCAATCAATCCATGATGACCCAAATCGAATCTACTCCACGTGCAGTCCTGGGAAGGTTGGTGATGAAATTGTTGGATAAGGTCTCTAAGTCCATAACTATTTCTGGTATGTACTTGACCCGACCCGGCATGGTCCATTTGGGTTGCATGGCACCATGCAATTGGATAAACTAAAATAAGAGAAATAACACTTATGGTTTATTAATATATTATAAGTTCTAATATATTAATAATATTATTTAATTAGTTTGATCAAGAATTAATTTAGAATTAATTAAGTGATCAAAAGATAACTAATTAAATATATGGGTAGATTATGTAAATCTTCCATATCTTATATAGTGGGCTAAGAGGCTCCATGGATTATCAAGTTGGGTTCCACCCATAGGATGCTCCATGGATGCTCCATGGGAGTTACAAACCCATGGGTCATGGAAATGAAGAGTCATGACACATTAGGGTTTACATGGTGTAACCCTAGATGTGTCAACACTATATAAGAAACCCATTCACCACCAAAATCGGGCTACATAAGAAACAAGAG